GAGTTGTGGTATGATTGCCAATGATAAACCAATCCAAATGACGTAGATTTAGGCAACTATAGCATGTATAGTTCACCGTGCGGCCATCAACAATGAGCAAAAACTTATACCGTATAGTCAGCTATAAAAGACCCCGACATGAAAAATGTGAAACGATTGAAACGAGAAAACTAACAGCCTAATTTATAACAATACAGTTTACGAAAAACAAATACGACAGACATGAACCAACGGCAACCACTGAATTACAGGCTCCTGATTTGGGACAGGCATATAAAGAATGTGAAGGGGTTAAATATGTTTGTGAACGCTCAAACATCCCCTGACCCAAGACAGTGGTGTAACAGCAACAAAAGTAAGAACAGACTGTAAAAATCAGTTGCAATTGGCTTTACTTAAAGGGTACGTTCGAAAAACTAAAACAACTGGCATAAAAACAATAGACAAAATGCACCAATATAAGAATACTCGCAGTTACCGAAAGATAGTTGAAAGCAAATCTCAACTAATAAATACATCATATTCGTTCAGATTAAAGCATTAATCAGTACACATTCAACGGATTTATTATAATACGTCATAAACTGTCTGAGAAACGCATGACCTTGCGCAATGCCAAAATATAAGATTTGTACTGATCGATATTTTAGTCTTAAATGCATCATTTTTTTATTAGTTGTTATTGGCTTTGAACTAGTTGTCAGTAACTGCGAGTACTCTCAGATCTGTACTAAGTGTCCTTTTTGTTGTGGGGATGTATAAGTACCCTGCCAAGTCTGTGTTTCTGATAGATGTATTTCTGCTTTGTATCGATCTGATGAGTTAAGCCCTTTTCAACTGATTTCTATAGTTTGTTCTTATGTTGTACTGTTACACCACCGTCCCAGGTTAGGGGGAGGGTTGGCTCCTTCAAACTAGTTTAACCCCGCCACAATCTGTATATGCTTGTCCCAAGTCAGGAGCCTGTAATTCAGTGGTTGTCGTTTACTGCTATATATCATATTTATTTTTCGTTCATTATTTTGTACATAAATCAGGCCGTTAGTTTTCTCGTTTTAATTGATAATTTTTATGTCATGTTGTCTCTTGTGGAGAGTTGTCTCTTTGGCAATCATACCACATCTTCTTATTTTTATAGACAGTATAGACAGGATGCAGGATCATGAGACCTCATAACTATACATATATAGCAATATATGTTTAGTTTTTGTTTTAATATTAAAAAACAACAAAATCAATGTAAGTAGCGATAAAGACTGTTACAACATTTAAAGATTTCACTACGGTGTTACCAAGTCAGGAATATGACAGTTGTTGTCCATTCGTTTGATGTGTTTGTGCTTTTGATTTTGCCATTTGATTAGGGATTTTCCGTTTTGAATTTTCCTCGGAGTTCAGTATTTTTGTGATTTAACTTTTTGATAACCTTTAACAATACGTCTATTCAAAGTATTAATGAGTTTTCATTGATCGTATCTAAATTAACATTAAATTCCTAACCAGGTGTAACACCAGGTGAGCCCGGTCAGAAAGCACATACTAGAAAGTCGTACATATTAAAGACAAAATAGTTTCCACTTAGGGCTTAGGTAATTGTGGTATCAAATGAAAGCTGAATGACTGGTGACTATTGTAGAACATTTTTTTTTATTTATAATTTTGAAAAATAAAAACATTTCATGAATTTTATAAAGGAGGGTTCATTTTGCCTGTTTCTCAGATCTGAAGTACCTGTGGTGGTACTTGCTAAGTTCCGGAACCAGTTCGCTCTTATATGCAATTATATAAAAAATATGTTGATTTTTTCAGTAAAATACAAACTAAGACGGTGTTTTGGCATGTAATGAATGTCACTTTATTTGAACTTATGACAAAAGAGCTACGATTGCTTGAAATTGAAGAATTTAACATGGGAAGCAACGGGGTCAAGATTAAGTGGTGATCATCCAACCAATTAATGTACCATTAGTTTTTTTAAATCAATCAACGACTATAGAGTCTATACCAAGCATTAATTTTTCGAATGGCGGTGGAATCAAAAAAATTATTCAGACACCTATTTTGCGAACCACGCTTAGCACTTATCGGTATCATTGTATATAAGGGATTATAAGCTGGGAAATAGAAATTGCCAGAAATTTAGTGAAAGTTAATCGGATTTACGTGTGTTTACTGTGAGGGTTTGAAATTCCAGTATGATTAAACCAAGGTCAAGGTCATTTCTCATGTTATCTTCTCACGTACATGCAAAGTTGACATGTATTTTTGATTTTGGCCATATATATACATATATATGAACGTCATACATATTCCAATTTCAGCGCATGACATATACAGATATTTACAAAGGATTTTGCCGACTTCTGTTTTATTTTACCTGGCAGTTTATTTGCTTTGCTTTGCTTTGTTTTGCTTCTTGTTTTTACTTAATTGTTAGTTATATTGATTTTTTTTTGGTTTGTATAGTGCATTTTTGTTTTATTGCCAACGTCATGTACTAGTTTTTAATTGTTTGTGTATTGTTTACAGCGTTTCAATTTTGTTCTGTATCTTCCAACGCGATATCTGTATGAAATGATTTTTATGATTGCAATTACCCGGTGTTCATTTAGTTTTTTATTATTTTGTTCATGAAATATCCCAAAGGTGTGTAACACAGTCAGTTAAAGTTTAAAACCAACAAATATGTAGATAATACGTGCATGCATGCCAAAACAAGAGTAAAACGAGTCTGAATACAATGAACAATTTTTAATGTGATGTTGTTTAATTATAGATAAACATGAATTTGCATACAAGGTTTGAATATGTTGTCCAACTACACAATTTAAAAGAAGCAAATGTTGCAATTGTCTTATAAATAATTTCTTCTTACTGAACAAAGATACATGCACATATAAAATAGTGCAAGAAAGGGGATAATATTACTTTTCCCATGGTTTGAGGAACTTTAATGTGTTTACAATATGTCGTGAAATCTTTCCATGTCTGGGTAAATCAAAATCTTTTTTAAGAAAAGGTATCAACTACCAAGAGTTTTCAAAACAAAATATTAAATTATTTAGATCGCAAACAAAGAAAGAAAAAAGAAAAAACAACCAAACTGGGACAATAATGTGAAACGAATTTAAAAAAGAAGAAGTAAGATTTGACAACACAAAGTTCATACACATTGTTGAAAACTTGTAAAACAATTATTAACATTGGAACATTTCTATATAAAAATAAATACATATATATATAGTAAATATGTTGCAAAAACATAACAAATGGGTGTGTAAATGTTCTATAAAGTTCTCCAATACGTTGCGTTGATAACTGTAAGATAAATTTATCGCACACATTTGACAGCCTTTCTAAAATAAAATGTTGAAAATGTCTGTTTCAAAAAGTGTAATAAAACTGAGAATGGAAATGGGGAATATGTCAAAGAGACAACAACCCGACCAAATAGCAGACAACAGCCGAAGGCCACCAATGGGTCTTCAACGCAGCGAGAAAATCCCACACCCGGAGGTGGTCCTCAGCCCTTAAAATCATTTGCAGAATTTTCTGAACATTGAATAAGTATGCAGGAACCTTAGAACTAACGATGAAGCTGCTACTTACGAGAAAATTTGATTTAAAAAATATAACTACACTTAGAAATGGACTATCTAATTTTGTTTGTGCACATTTTTTATGACGATTCGAGGACCTAATTTTTAATAAAGCGGTATGACGCATTGACCACATACAGTATTCTCTCTTCATTGACAGCCAAGCTAATACAAAATTCCCCTTTGTCGAATACCATTTCATGGAATCCTAACAAAGTTTCAAGTATCATACAAATGACTAAAACCGACACGAATGCAATACGACTAAACATCAAATAAAGTATCAATATCTATAATGTGAATGCAGACATGCAAAACAAAAAAAAAACAAAAAAAACAACAACAACAAAAATAACCAAACAAATAGCAAGCATAAAACAGAAAATATTGATTAAACATGCAATAACAGGTACCAATATCAGTAAACAATAGTTATCTATTATATATATATAAACTCGCACATAACCTTTTTAAAATGAACTGTACATGAAAGCGAAGCGAATGGTATACCAGCTCTGTAAAATTCTTTACACCAAGAAAAAAATCGTTCAATGAAATTGAATACCTTGCATTTATCATGCATTTCATTAACCTATGATCAAATCACTGAAATTAAGACCATTCTCCTAAGATATTGAAAACTATTATTCTGCATTTACAGTAATATCTTGGTGTAAATTGAATATATCCATTCGGACTAACGCCCTCAAGGTGTCTCAAATACTTATTAACAAACCGATATTAAAAACAAAATAAACATGTTGAAATAGGAATAATCTTTAAATGAAAATATTAAATTCCATAGAAATGTGTTTGAAAGCAGCCAAAAAAAAAAAACTAAAGTTATGGATTCATCAATAATATATTTAAAATAAGAGAACAAATAACAGTGAACTCTACACAGTCATTCATGAGATATTTCAAAACTCACAGTCTGTAGTTCCAATGAAATGTGTACATTATTGCGAAGGACTTATCAACTCTGAGTTCAGCATGACGAACAGCAAACAACAACAATCAATCAATCAATCAATGTGAAACTATAACAATTTATGTAAAGGATCAAAACAAACGTATCATTACGGTATTTATAATTTTTGGTAAAACAAAACATATTTTAGAACTTGTTGAAATGCATCTGAATATTGAAAAATACTATATGTAGCATTTAATTATTCAGAGATATAGTCAATCAAAAAATGTGAAAAGAGTCTATAGAATGTATGAAAAAAAACCAGATCATTTGAAAATTCGTCCACAGAATGTTGTTGATGTACGATATTTTATTGCTGTAAAAATTTTCGTATTAACGGTATGCAAATATAAAGGATTCTGAATCCATACATTATTTCCTCAATTTTTTAAAAACCGCTTAATTACGCACACTTTGCCTAAATCCCGCACAATGATTTTTCATTTCGAATTTCGAGTCTTGAAAATACAGCCTTGCCTTATTTGTGGACCCCTTCATGAAGGTATTAGGTAAAATATTGCAAATGCATTTTTTCCCATAAATTCTGATATAAACTTAATTTATGTATAACTGATTGAAACATACCCTAAATGAGAAGTCTAATGCTACAAATATACATACAAACCAAATCATTAGATACCAAATATTTGAAACAATATCAAACCTGAATAAAAAGTTCTCACTATCGAATATCATTCCGTTTGTCCTTGATTGTCTACAATATAAACTGCCTATTTTAAAGAGAAGTATTCCAGACTAAGTGTAATACTAAACTTATCAACATAACTTCATAGTTCATAGATCTATACGTTATAAACATGATTCTTTTTTACCAAACATCATTGATCTTATCGGCCTTCATTTATTCTCCGAAAGTATGCTTCACCAAAAGTATGGTTCTCCATTTGACATGCTTTATGATACATCTTTCGTATAGCGTTTGTTACATTCGTTCACACTGGAGTTCAGTAGCTACAATTCTTTTTACAAAGTAATGATTGATTGTTTAGTTATATATTCGTAAGTAGATCTACATGTATTACATCTACTGGTTACCTCTAAAATATAGCACAGTATCACCCAAGGTCATCTCTATATTCTTATGACCATTTTCTTTTGCAATTGCCAGTGGCGATCTTCCATCATCTCTGCAAATAGTGATATCTGCTTCTGTATCTAAAAGCAAACGTACAATACTATCATGTCCAAGTTCGCATGCATAAAATAATGGAGTTGTTCCATCATCTTTTGTCAGATTAACAGAGGCGTTATAGAGCAAAAGATATTTAACTATTTCCAAATGACCCATAGCACAGGCAATGTGTAAAGGGGATGAACCTGCCATAATATCAAATATATAATCTACTGACTTTAGGCGGGCATACTGTTGAACGCTTGGTACTCCCCTTTCAATGGTAAAGTTGAATATGAACAGTTTTACATTTGTTAATGTTGTCCATGGACAAGACAACATTCTAAATGATACCATCTCTTTACTGTAAAGTTGTACATTGCAATCAGCATTGAATTCTAAAAGTAATCGAGTGATTTCAATATTTCCATTTGCTGCAGCTAAGAGTATAGCGGTAGCACCGGTAATCGTTTTCATATCTACATTTGATTTATTATAAATTAACAGACGTGCCATATCTGTGTAGTTATTCTGACAAGCGAATATAAGAGGCGTGAAACCATCTTTTTCAGAAAAATTCACGTCTGGGTTTTTCTTCAGCAGTTTCTTCACGATATCAATGTGGTTCAACAGAGTCGCTTTCAGTAGCGGTGATATGCTATTAACTTCATCTTTCATACTGATATTGATATCGGCATTACTAGCCAATAATAGATTTACTATTTCAGAATAACCTTTCTCACAGGCAATGAAAAGAGGGGTTATTCCTTTTTCATTACATTTGTTGATGGAAACATTCCTTTCTAGTAAGAGGGAGACGATATTTTTGTGACCATTATAACAAGCCATAAAGAGTGAAGTATTTCCATCATCTCTACATTGATTCACGTCTACAGCATTGTCTAATAGCCAATGGGCAATATCAATATAACCATAATAACATGCATGTAACATTGGATAGCTGCCTGAAGTACCCCATCCCTTTATTTCAAAGGTATCTTTTGTGTTTGCCAGTTTCACCCGCTGCATTTTGTCATGTTTTTGTAAGTGCAATAATAATTGTTCTCTGAATAATGTATATTTCATATTATTGTTGATAAATACGACTGTCATCCTACCTACCGACCATTCGTTTACCAATCTTTCTAAATACAGCCCAAAGTAATCATCAGTAAGATTTATAGAGAATTCAATGACAGATGTATTGAAGTTCTTTAGTTTTGTCCATCGGAATCGGTCACTTATGAAATAGGAATCAGAATGATCTATCAAACATCGAATCATTCTTCCACCGAAGTAGTGAGCCATAAAATCAAATATTTTATCATGTACAACACTGTATTTTGCATTCCTTTTCATAACTAATGAACCATCTAATGTTTCTAATGCATCCTTAATTTCAGTCTTCGGTGTACTAATATTCAGTCTACAAGCCGCATATACATCGTCTAAAATTTGCCGCTGTTCATCTGTTACTCTACCTTCGAACCATTTTTCTTGGATTTTATTATTAGAAAGTACACATAAGAGAAGACCACATATTTTATGCTTGCCTCCAACATCGCTTCTATTCAGATTGTCCAATTCATCCTTATAAAAATCAAATGGATTTCTAAAAAATTTGGTATAATCTCTAAATTTGTTTACAGGAAGACATTGCAATGAACATAATAGAGGAAAACAATCACTTACTTGTAAATTATCATCAAAATTTCCATTAACTTTGTACATTTTTTTTATTGTTGTTCTTTCTAATTGTGTAAGACACATTTCTTTCGAGATCAAATTACATTCACATATTCTAAAAGGCTCTAACAATCTAAATTTATCATCGATATAGACTTGCAATCTACATGTTGAAATTATCTTGCAGCACTTGTCTTTAAGAATTATTTTGATTATTGGTAGCATCTGTTGCCAATTCTCAAGCTGTGTTTGGCTTATAGTAAATTTACCACATATATCATCTACAAGAAAAACAGTTTGTTTTCCGGGCGCATAATAGTCCTTTATATCAGTTGATGTTAAGACTGGGACAATTCTGTATCCATTTGATTGTAAATTAAGTGCAATGTGCCTAGCCACGAATGTTTTCCCTACTCCAGAACTGCCTGTCAATGTTACGCAGCTCTGTTTCTGTATGCAATTTGAAACATAAACGCTTGATCTTGTAGGTACAAATTTGGTGTCTTTCATTTTCCAGTCTTCTATCTCTTTTTTCATCCAGTCTGTAATGTAAATAAATTATATGAACACAAAATAAAAATATTCATCAATATAAAATGAAAACGTCGGTGATACACATTGGATTATTATTTTCATCAAATTTTTCTCATTTTCGACATTTCAGAAGAATGGCAAAATGATAACGCAGTCCAAATTCCTTACAATACACTTTAATTGAAAAAGCATGTAAAATGTATTTATTGTTAAGTTATTTTGCTCACAAATAGAAACGAACTGATGTTTTTAACATAGTTAGTTTTCGTAGCAAGAAGGTTAATTCATATTGGAATCCTTTATTAACCATCATTCTGAACGAAAAAGACAGATATTTGCCTTTTTCATTGCCATGGAAATCACGGGTTAATTAATTCACGCAGATTTCATAGGTAGTATACAAGTAATTTAAATTAAATTCCTTATAAACATCACAAAAAGCATTTTATCCGAGTTCAAATCGCCCGAATCAATAAATCAAGTACAAAATTTCGAAAGGTTTTGCCAAATACAGGTAGGGTAATCTATTACTGAGGTAGATAATCCTTAGTATTCCGAACAATTAAAAGTTTTGTAAACATAAATTTTATAAATATGACAAAATCAATAATATTTTATGTCAACCCGGGTTTCCGCTTGCGAAAAAAAAAAAAAATAAAATTGTGCCAAAAAAAAAAATAATACTTAAGCGAAAGTTTTTTTGCAAAAGAATTATATCGGTTGGGTATCATCTATCTTGGTTTTTTTTCGGCCCTCTCTGACTTTTTCCTTATCAGCTTTAAAACCTTGAACTCGTCACACGTTTCGATCTTGACCGAAAATCAACAATTAGCTAATTAAAAAAAAATATAAGCATTTGATAACTATCAGCAATAAACTAATCAATAAAAGGTATTAACTGTATTGTTTATTAAAATTGTGTGACCAAATGACTTTATTTATGTCACTTAAATGAGTAGATTGCAACTTATATAAAAAATGTAGTTTTAGGCTGGTAATTTGCAATCAGTTTAGCGCTCCTGTGTTCAACATAGTTTTACGATTTATTTTTTAACGATGTTTTTTTTTTTGATGTCATATGAAACTTTAAATAGAAAAAAAGATGTAAATGTTTTCTATACTTGAATGGCTAAGTTTTATGATAAAAAAAAAAAAAAATACCTAACTCCAAGGGAAATTCAAAACGGAAAGTCCCTTATCAAATGGCAAAATCAAAAGCTCAAACACATCAAACGAATGGAAAACAACTGCCATATTCCTGACTTGGTACAGAAATTTCATTATGTAGAAAATGGTGGAATTAACCTGGTTTCATAGCTAGTCAAACCTCTCACTTGTATGACAGTCGCATAGAATTCCATTATATTGACAGTAATGTGTGAGCAAAACAAACAGACAAAATTGGTAAAAAAATTAAAAATTAGGGTACAGTAGTCAACATTGTGTTATAATCTTGATCACTATAAAAACAAATAACTATGTCAACGAAGAAAAACAAAATGGCATATATACAATCTATAGACCAAGCAAATAAGCAAAAATGAAAGACATGAATAAAACAAATGGATAATGTATCTATGGGATACAAATCATATAACGTTATAAAGGGACACAACTAGAGAACTGAAAAAGTCATGAAAGTGACGCCACCCAAATTCGACTTTGATCTGTGTTTTATGATAATAATCATTGTGTATAAGTTTCACAATATTTGGTTGAGGCAAACTAAAGTTAGAGAACGGACACCAATTTTAAGGCGTACGTACGGATGGACAGACGGACATACGGACAGATAAGTTAACACTAATTGCCCCCTTCGCCTAGTGGCGGCAGAATAAAAAAATGACCATAGCACAATAGCACAAATAGCAGGATGTATAAATACTGAACCACGTCAAAAGGATATTACCAAGAATGGACTAAACAGTAAAGGTTGAAGATATACAAAGACAAATAAAAAGAACACTATAACACGTCATTAAAAATGATAAACAACGTCAGTATCTAGAATCTATACTTCAAGACCATCATGTATTATTTGTGAAGTTGATACGGATATTTATCAACTAGTTCTTGGTATCTTCCGATGAACTTTTTTTTGAAAAAGGACGAGACGTTCTCTGGTTCATAAAATTTCTGCTCAGACACTGATAACGTTTTAAAAAGTCTGAGTAGCACTGCAAGCTCTTGAAAACTGAATGAGTTGGGAAATGTATATCCCATATGCAGGTGAAGTTGGTATATTGCTGCTAAGGTGGGGGAAATATATAATTTCAAAATTAAAATCGTCTCGTATGTCATGGATTCTGGTACTGAGATGACCTCTTATATCGAATTCAAGGTATGAGTCTAAATATGAGGCGGAGGAAGCCGTGTCTGGTGTTTCTTTAATTTCTAGTTCTGGAGGATATATCAATGGAACCCAATCAGAAAAGTTTGGATTGTTAATTGAAAGAACATCATCAATATATCAGAATGTGAAATTAAACGATCTGACTTCTTTGATATTTTTGTTTCTGACAAGTGTCTGAAAGAACTCCGACTTACATGAAAATAAGAAAAGGTCGGCAAGTAGAGGCGCACAGTTTGTTCCCATAGGAGTTCTGACAACTTGTTGGAAAGGTCTACCTCGAAATTCAACAAACACAATGAAACAAGTGTAAGCAACTTTCTTGTAAAAGAAAATACGTTATATTATTAAAATCTTCATAAATGTACTGCTATTGAAATATTGTATTCCCGTAAACTAATTCGACGATATTTTCCCGTATGCAGTGTTTGATGTGGGGTGTATGTACACTGGGATTCAAAATTAAACCCAGATGAATATGAGATGACGGTGCTGCAAATTGAAAAGCTTGTTTGCAAAGAGTGAAATAAGTTGGCGGAAAAAATGAAAGTGGCGAAGACTGTATTGTTTTGGCGAAAGGCATGGCGAAAAAGAAAATTAACCCAGGGGTAATTTGTTTTATCTTTATGAGTAGTTATTAAGTAACAACAAGATGAAAAATGGTCGACAAATTCCCTGTATCCGAAAAAATTTAAGAGCGTTTCCACTGGTCAGGAAAATTCGACAAATGAATTCGTGAAAGATTTTTCAAACCGTTTTCCTAGTGTTAGAGTGATCCAGAAAAGGAGGTTTCAGAAAATATCATTTTAAAATGTACAAATCAGAATCAATGAATGCCTCAGGCGGAATATTTTACTTCTAATTCGAACTAATTGCTTCTTATGGAACCTTACTTATTCTTCAAATTAAATGTGTGGTAGCTACAGAATTTTAAGCGATGAAAGTCATGAACGTTAATATGTGACAAATGACAAGAAGGATGTACGGGCAACAAGTGATAGCAATATTTCACAAAGGCTCAGTGAGCTTACATATACTTTGTTTTTGCAAACAAGCGTATGTCTTTATTTCATATATATCTTAAACAATACTGAAAAGATGACTGTATCAGGTTTCCTTTGGTTCAAATAGTCTGACGTTTTTTTTTGTCTGGTTTTATGGACTTCCATCTTTTTAATCTACCTAGGAGTTCGGTATTTTTGTTGATACCTTTTTATTGTATTATACGAACAGGATGTAATGAAATCGTATATAACACTAAAGAAGATCATTTGATACAGCGAAATGTTTGTCTATCATGTCTATATGATATATGATTTTATTACATCGTGTTCGTATATTACTTTATATTTTTTTCTATTTGTCAAATATAGCTTATTCTAGTCGATCCGATACCTATTATATTTGCTAGTTAGTCGTTTTTATAAACTTCTATACTTATCAAATCTCACTGTGCACACACCTTTAATTTTCTTTGGGATGATTTCTTCTTGCTCATTCTGTAAAGCGACAACTTTTGCATACAGACTAGAGATCGCCATTTCACCTGGAATTGATAAAAAGCCAATGTTATCTCATTGAATTCTACCAGAAAGAATACCATACCATGGAATATTTTGCATCATTTTGTGTCTTTGGGAGAAAGTGCCGAAATAAAAACCCAGAAACTGAAAATGTTACCAATATTAAATACAAAATTTTAAGGCATTCAGATTTGATAATCTATTTTAGGTGTAGTGCTAAAGCCAATAAATCTTCAGGAAATACGTGTTCATTGATTTTTTTTCAAATGTATAATGTAATCATGAATTAACACTTTTATTGATATATCAAAATGTATTATTTTATATAAAAATAATTCCAAACTTAAAATACATACATGTTCAAGGTCAGCAATATTCAGTGACAAGATCAATGGATAATTGTCACAATACGTTTAAAGAAAATTAATCAATTACATACTTCAATTATTTACATTGAATCATACTATCAAACTATTGAAACAAATTTTGTCTGATTTTAGATCTATAAATATGGACCTACTCAGTATCATAATGGTCTTTGCAAATATCCCATACACGTGTTATCCTATTTCGAGTTATTTTTTGTTTGAAAAAAGTAAATGACAAAGATTAAACAATATACAAAAGGTTTTTAAACATAGTGATTACAATTCAACTATCATATTTTACGCCCCCCACCCCTCCCACCAAAAAGAATGGTTATGAGTTTTTCAGTGATAATCTTTATTAATATAAATCTGCTTTTGTGCTTTTAAGAAATATCAACTATTTATTTAAATTTTGCATTGTACAGTCTCAAATAACTGCCTCCCTCGGTGGTACTGTTTTTGCGTGGACATTTAGAAAGTGTTTTTTTTTCAATCGCACTGGGTGCACGGTTTCGAGGGTTCGGTCTAACTACTGTTTATACTATACACTTCTAATTGCTTCATTGCAATATGTATTATCGTCATGAATAGTTATCAAATATGTACTGCTATGTTAAAGATCAATGAATTAAAAAAAAATTAAAAAAAATTCACACGAAAATTCATTGAAAAGCACACAAAAACAAAACAACAAAGCAGTCGCAGCATGTTTGTTCCTAGTTTGACTTACTTTGTCGACGCAACACATCAATATTTTGACTGACCGTGGATATACTTGATGCCATTCTTCTCTCGTGTTCAGCTAGATCTTCCAACTGCCGAAGGTATATTTGTTCTGTATCCGGATCTATGCAGCAAGTTTTAACGTTTTCTATTCTTGACACATATTCTCTATTCCGTTTATTTAGGTATACTTCAAATCTACTTGCAATGTCTATGAAAAGTGAAAACCTATTATCTAGTTCTAAGTCTGAGATATTTGTATTACTACTATGCACAATATCATTCCGGCTATGTCTGATTCGTTCTACATCATCTCAAATTGTAATTTCTGTCGGAGTTGGTGGATTTTGGTTGTCCCAACCTCGTGTTGGTGGTGGAACTAAATTTAAATTTCTTATTATCTTGTACATAAGAGAAACATCAAAATCAGCATACTGTTTTGTACGGACAGTTGCTATGACTTTCCATTCAAAGGCTCTCAGTTGTTTGGACATGTACCTGGTACTCCGAATATCGCCATCCAGAGACGCGGGTGGCTCTTTTACCGTAAGTAATTCCCGGAGTATATTTGGAAGCTCTGTCTGAGACACTTTAAATAATCTAACAAAGTGAGCTATGTTCAAACTAGGCCGTGTGAACAAAGTAGAATATACCGTTCCCATCTCTTTTCTACAGATACATTTTCAGGATGTGGCGTGTCTTTAATCACTTGCTTGTATAGTATCTATTGGCTTCTAGAAATGATTATTATATCAAATACACCCTGTGTTCTAACCTGAAATAAGTTAAGTATTAAGATTATAATAAACTCTATACACTTTTCTAAATTGTTAAAATTTTAAAGGCATAGTTATATATCATACATTATAAAGCCATAGCTAAATAATCCTAAATAAGGAGGAAAAATGATTTGAAAAAAGTAACATAATTGAAGAACTTTTCACAGTTACTTTAGTTACTCCAGTGACAAAAGGGGCATTTAAAAAAAAAAACTAAGATGTAAAAAATTAATTGCTGCGCCGTAAAAAACACCTGTCGCTGTGTTACATGGAATGCGTTCACAAGGTATGATTTAGTAAGCTGAGAATAGCGAGAGTCCAATAACTCCTGCAGAAATTGTTATATACATACGACGGTAAAATGATCAAATTCACATGACGGTATCAGAGGACTTGTGTTTAAAAGTTGTATTAATGTTACTATAGTAATGTAATGGTAAAAGTGAAATATCTTAATAATGAATTGTCGAATCGAAATGATGGTTAGGTATGCTTTACGTAACTGTATATAATGACAGGACCTCCTACTCAGTATGAAAAGTTATTGCCAAACGGTCTCCGAGATGTTGTTTCACAAGGTGTTTGATTGTGGAAATATGATCAAAGTCTCAGAACCTCAACAAGAGGTTTCAAATCACATTCTGGATAAAGAAAGGTTAACTACACGTGAAGACAGATAACAGTTAGTATGACAACTTTTGATAAAACGTTATCAATAATGTTGATTTAACAAGTTTGCATTGTGTTACAGCTTATTCATCCCTCAAAAATTTCAAATTGAAATAATAGTAGTGTGGTCGATTGTGTATAGTGACAAACAATCCTTCCCAGAATAAATGAATGGTTGCTTCCGCAAGGTTTGATTGTGTTATGATAATTAAACATTGGATTAAGTCCCCTTACTCCTGCCTGATTGTAAAAACAAAATTACGGTATAGTAACATATCATGAGTATGATCAAAACCTATGACAAACAATCCTACAAGTATGCAAGCTTTTATGCAGACTGTCTCTGAGTATTTTGTTTGGGCGGACAGATGAAGTTTTATATTATGTTCTCCGAGGCGTGCACATCAGAAAGAGAGTAATGAAGTAAAATATTATTATTTCTAATGTTTTAGCGAAAAACTGAAAAGGTTTTTTATATTTGATTCTTAAATATGTTAAAAGCATCCAGACTCCAAATTCAGTATAGAAAAAAACCTCGTATGTCCCTATACATAATTTGACGTAATGTTAATATTTAACGACGTCTTTTTCACAATGACGTTATTACTCCAAACGCCTGGAAATGTCATGGCGGGTCACATATATCTTCATACAATAAGGAGTATGTAAGCCATATAAGGATTTAAATTGTACACCTTAACTATAAAACATTCTTGAGAAGTGTAACTACATCTACCAAAAAACATGATAGAAAATACACATGACACACTTCTCCACTGGTTTCCATCATCCCAGCAGCACCTGCATATAAAGTATATGCTTTCCATTGGATACGTTATTTCAGGATTCGTATTTCCTATCATGATTTCCTTGATAGCGGGTTGCTGCTTACTATAAAACTATTAAACCAACGGTTCCAAAATTAAAAAAAAAAAAAAAAATACTGACGCAATCACGAGTTGGTTGGAGGTGATGACATATCTGTTTCACAGATGACAACGGATATGTTACAATTGTCGTAACCACAATCACGCCCCGTGTTATCACTGAATTAGACGTATCACTGAATGTGACATTAACTGAGCAATACGACGGGTGCCATATGAGGATCAGATTTGCTTACCCTTTAGGAGCACCTGAGATCGCCATCGGATTTTGGTTTTGTTCGTGTTGCCCTGTCTTTAGTTTTTTATGTTGCGTTTGTCTTTTGGCTGTTTTTAGTTTTTTTTGGCCCAGGTGTTGTCAGTTTGTATTCAACTTAATGACCCCTTGGTGGTTTGGTATCGCACCTCTGTTATCATTCTTACAAATCAATTAAAGATAATCCGTTTAAATTTCCTTAAAAAATTCAAAAGAAATCGATAAAATATTGCGATATAACACCACAAAATACTAACAGGAAAACAATTCAAAATTATCTATAAGTTTTTCAACGAATGTATGCTTACTTGAGCAACACGACCAGTGCCATATGTAGGATAGGATCTGCTTACGCTTTCCGATCACCTGGGATCAACTCCGGATTTTGCTGTGGTTCGTGTTGCATAGTCTTCTATGTTGTGTTTGTATTTTGGCTGTTTTTGTTATTTTATGCCATTGCGTTGTCAGTTTGTCATCGACATATGAGTTTGAAAATCCCTTTGGTTTGTTATTGCCTCTCTCTTTCATCCTTAAACACCAATTAAAATGATTCGGTTTAATTTCATTGAAGAACTCGATAAAAAACTGCGATAAAGCACAAAACCACAATACAGTTTGAAATAGTATATGAATGTATGGAATACATAGATGAAAGAAATAAATAAACAGGCAACACACATGAATTGTCCCAAAAGAAATCAAAATTTCATATATTGCTAGATACTCAGATTTGATATTATTTCCTTGTGGTATTGTAAATACTATTGGAGAAGTAAAACAGGTGTTCTACTTCGAATTAACAAAAATGGGTGACAGTGTCTAGTATATGTACACACGGTAGAAGGTAGTATATTTGATAATGACACTGTTCTTGCCTTGTCAAAACAAATGTAATTGCTTTTCTAATTGAAATATTTTAAAACCAGAGAGAAGATAAAATGACAACGTATCATTTTTAATACAATGTAAACATGGTAAATTATATTTTAATATCGTTGTATCTTTTTTCTATCCGAGGTCAAACAGGAAATTTTTACTTGTCATTTTTGTCTGTTGTTATTGGGATAAATGCTCACATCTTCATGTTGAGTACACACTGAGGTAATCACTCGACTATACCATGTATAAAAGGGTTGAGCTTACAACGTCGATTTTGTGGATTCATTAGCTCATTTCGTGCCCGTAAAGGTTGGAAAGTAATAATATTTCTAAAGAAATCACGACAACATATACCATTGGGACGAAGCAAAAAAGAAAAAAAAAGACAAGCAACAATATACTATAATGTAGATAGGGTCAAGCTCTATACCTTTCCTTTTAATTAATTTTAGGTAGGTGTTTTATTACAGACGTTTTTCATGAAAAAATCCACCTTTTTGTTGTTAATTTTCGAGAATAAAATTTATAAATTATATTTGCGATTGACAGATTCAACTTTGATAAAGTGATCCATCATTTTAACCAATTAGAAGTTAGCATAATTTCAATTGACTGTCTCCAGACAATCAAACTAAACAAACATTTGATTATGCAATGGTGGTTTTAATAGTTAATCCAGGTTTTATCTAAACTTATTACTTCATTTTCTTACAGTTATGATGGTCTTCAACAATGGACAAATAAATTAATTTACGCTCGAAATCGACTCGATTCTGTAAGGTTGTGAAAATATTGAACATAATTTTGCCAAACAGTGTTAAAAATAACAGAGGATAACTACTTATGATAATCAAGACTTAGAAGAGGCTAATGGACCATGTGATGGGGTTATCTTTTTATATCTCATACGATGATTTCTTTTTTTTTTTTAGAATTCCCTGTTTATACATTTTTTTTTTTTATTTTTATTTTTTATTTTTTTTATGAAAATATTGTTTTCCGAGCCCACCTTACACTTTATCATGTTTATGTACTAAACAAAAAGCATAACATTTCGTTACGGTATTATCACTCACAGTCTTTGGCCTACATATTTTACATATATATCCAAAATATTCCTAGTAGTATAATTGATATTCTTTTTGTAATGTAGCATGTCAACTGGAGTTGGAAAATGAACTTGAAATATTCTACTTACGCAAGTTGCAACTCGCCGAATGAAGGTCGAACAACCAGGTAATAACATACAGTTTAGACCTTTCAAAAGGTTTTAATTACACCTAAAAACTATAAACTTGGTGCGAAAATCATCGATCAAACCAAAAACTACTTCGGCAGTAGCCTCAGTTTAACTCCACTTGAAAGATGCTTAACAGGTGCATATTAACATAAAAGACAATCAACTTTAGGCGAAAACACTTTTGCCTCTTAGCTTTCAACATCAAACAATTAAATTTGAAATATTAATTAATTACAGTTAATTGATCAAACCAAATAGACATGAACAAAATAAGGGTAGATGCGCATGTGAAACTTTCCTAGTCTATAGATTGAAATGTTAAATCTTATTATTGTTTTGAATATAGAAGAGCACATACAATGACATAAATTGGCAACTCAGCAGTAGGACAGTAGCAAGTGCTTCTAATTCAGTTCTTGACAGATTTTGATGCATGGTAAACTAGAATCGGAAAGAACTTTTTGTAAAAATTGTACAATCCCTAGAATACATAGATTTCTATTAGACTTTCGCAAGTTCTATGTTACGTTTTATTGATAGCATACTGTAGACAAGGTAGATAACACATAATTTACCTGTGTAACATTTTATTCTTTCTATTTATATCGTGCACATTTGTACTACTGCAATGTTTATCTTACATACGATCCCGTTATCTACGTTTTGTGTATTTATAAGATAAGATAAGATAAGATATCTCACAGATAAATATTATAACTTGACAACTTAACGAAATTGTTAACAAGCCACTCACTGTCAATCATTCCCTATGTCAATCATTACCTTAATCATTCATTCCCCTTGACCAGTACTTTGGTACTGTCATGAAATTACGGATACTGTGTTATCTAAATTTTGCTTTAACCATGGTAACAGTTACAAAATACTGGAATTATCTTTAATGAAGATCTCCCTCATTCAAAGCTATATTCCTTGCCTGGCGTTTGCTATATGTTTTGACCTTTTATGGTTTTATCAGCTCTTCGATTTTTAAATACATTTTGGATTGTAAATATTTTGGCTTTGAGCATCACTGAAGAGACAACATTTGTCGACATTTGCATCTGGTTCAGTAAAATGGGTACCGTTAATGTAATTATCTGTATATCAATAATGAAAAATAAAGATTAAGCACATTAAAACATATAAAAGGTGTCATCCTGGTTTGCCAACTTAAAATTGTAGGTTTATATATACATTAGGTGATTTCTTGTGGAAACAATTTTAGTCTTTTCTCTGAACTAGTCATATTCTTCAAGAAACATGAGAAAATGGATTTAGTTGACTTATATTTTGAATCAAAATTGTGAAGAAATGTTTCTCATTTTGACAAAATATCATCAACATCTTTAAATTATTGATAACATTCTGAAAAAAATAAATAAATAAAAATATTAATCTTTAAAATTAAATCAAATGTCAAATACTTTTTTACCTTGTTAACATGTCCTTGGTGCCAATTCAAAGGGCTCAGTGCACCAATGAGTCATTGTCAGTGTTTAGACTAACCCGTACAACTCTAAGTCAAGAAGATAACAGCCTTCATGTTTTTAAAGTATTTAATTAAAATTCAAATAGTATTAACACATTGAAAAAAAAATATTTACTCACTCACATGCATAAAAAAGTGACGAAAAAAACAACACAAATAGCTAACTATTTCCATGAAGAAGGTGGATTGGCCCGTCTCGTCAACGACTATTTTTAAAGCTTTGTATACTAAAAATCACGAAGTTCATGAGGTTCACAAAATTTATTGATTTTCAAAATGGTCAATAACATTATATAATATGCATCGATTTCTATCTACAAATCAGTCCAGATACAACTTTTGAATAGGAATAACAAAATTTTAATTTATTTTTAAATGTAAAACATATACTAGCTTTATTTTTTCAATTATCTTCTAAGAACACTTCAAATCAAACAATTTATTTAGAAAACCATACCCAATGTATTTTTAAAATTTATCTATCCCCAAAATTTACAGACGCTTTTCACAAGCACTTGTAGTTGGATGATGCATACATTTTTATTATAATTTTATCTATATATTATGTCAGGTCTTTCAAACACAGTCCAGTTTTTTGCCAGTGACATCCAAGTTATAATGGTTAAATAAACAATTTCCATTTTGGTTTAAATGTGATATATCAATACATTTACTTTTAAAATGAATGAAAAGGTTGGTTTAAAGAACTTCTCGATACTCAAAGAAAAATGGAAAAAATCATATATTACTATATCATTCCAAAAATTGAAAAAGAACATGAGTACAATTTTAAGTTTGAAGAGGAATACGATCTAGTATAATGTAATACAAGGCCACGCAGTAACAACACATCATAATAGTTTGTTTAAATTATTAATTAATAGTTCACACAGTTAAAGACAAAAATAAACATCTTACTCTTACAAGGGCGGATTCAGCGGAGGGGGGATTTTTAATTTTAGCAGTTACATTACTGTAATTAACCTTGTACTTATACCAAATACTCTACCAGTATCAACATCATGCTGCAGAATGACTTTGATTTTTTTCACCCTAGGTGAAGAATGAATCAGATGTTAATACTACGAAATGCAAAATCTGGAAGAGTAAATGTACAATCTATTTAAAAATTAAGAGATGTGGTATGATTGCCAATGTGCCAAATATCCACCCAAGTTCAAATGAAGTGGATGTATGCAATTACAAATGTATAGGCAACCATACGGCCTTCAACAATGAGAAAAACCCATACCGTATTGTCGGCTATAAAAGGCCCCAACATGAAAAATATGAAACAATTCAATTAGGAAAACTAACGGTCTAATTTATAATAAAATAATTTACGAAAAACAAATATGACAGAGATAAACCAATGACAACTACTGAACTACATGCTCCAGACTTGGGACAGGCACATAAATAATGTGGCGGGGTTGAACAGGTTTGTGAGCGACCCCGTTCCTACCCTGGAACAGTGGTGTAACAGCACAACATAAAAACACACTATAAATATCAGTTGAAAATGGCTTAACTCATCAGATCGATACAAAGCAGTAAACATCCGGAAAAACCAAGAACCGACGCGGAACCTATGTTCGTTTCTTTCTCTTATGAAATACAAATTCTAGTTTGATTTGTCCACCCTGAATATTACACAGTCAAGTATTCCTCATTGTAAACTCTAAAATTGTTGAAAGAATTGGTCGAACTTTATGGAAAAAAAAAACAAAACTAGAATTGCCAACGTAGATACAAATGTCGTATCATAGCAAGGCGCCACCTATATTTGCTTAAAAAACATCTATTACAAACAAAACTGGCTGGTAACAAGAAAATCATTTAATATGTAACATCTTTGAAAGTTTTACGGGCCCTCTTGATTTGGTTTTCCCCTTGAAAAGGTAACTATGCGATTGTCAGTATAGTAGAAAGATAATGGTTCAAACATTACGGCTTATTTGTCAATTGCTGTATGATTCAAATTTTGATGCATCCTAATAGTTGACCAAGGTTTAGATATGGTCATCCAGCAGCTAACCCATTCTAACGAGGGGTGTACGCTTAGCTGTGCGGGATGGATAAATGCTCAGCCACGTGCAGTCGGAATGCGGACGTTAAATCCGATCTCACGTTCTTGAAGTGAAAGCAACATTGCAACAAGTCTTTGATGATCACAAAGGTGTCCTGGTGCAAGGGAATATTCCTATTCCTATCCAATGTACCCTCTTTTTCTAATGGAAGTCAAAACTCCCGCTTTTCAATTAAGTCAACCCACTTTACAGAATATATTGTTAACTTGTTCTGTTGACATTTTTGAGTCTGATGGTACATTCCTACACTTGGTAAATAAAAATATTATTAACAAGCGTAAAGTTAAAGTAACTGTAAGTAGAAATACATGTGTCAGGCATGTTTAAGGGGATTAAAGGTCCACGGCTCTTTTCATTTTTCCAATTATTTTTTATTTATGCACTGATCAATCACCTATCGCAGAGTACATGGATTTGTTTGATTTTTAAAAAAAATAGTTTGTTTCTACATACAATTTGTATAACTAGATAAAAAAAATGATAAAAAAAACATCGAAGTTTAGATGTGATCCCTATGGTCATGTAATTACAGGGAACCTCAACATCGTTCAAGACCGAGAGGTTATAAACTTTCTAAAAAAGGGACCAAAATATCGTCCACCGTCTAAAATAAATTGGGAAGAGTGTCGTCAGAATATTAAAGATGCTCTTTCATCCTATTATAAATAATGGTGTAAACGGGAGAAATCTGACAAATAGTCACTTGATTCCTATTTAAATAAATGTATGGATATTGTTGATATTCGCATATCCTATTTCGAAAATAATTTAGAAATAAGTAAAAGAGTAAGTAATACGCTCATTTCTAGGATTATAAAAAAATTCAAGTGTTATCAAAGCGTTTGTGTTCGAACCGGCCAACAAAGCAGCCTCCAATGTGGTTGTGGTATGACGTAAATACTACACGGAAGTCATTAAGAATGAATATATACAATGAACTACATTCAAGGCCGTACGCTCAACAGAGAGTCATATAATAAATAATCATGTCACTACCACAGCTCAGCTTAAGGCCTCCTCTGAACATTTGAAGGTCCCCACTATGTATTGGTTACCTGGACTACACTAAAAACCCGTAAAAAATCGTTTCATCTCTGCCTCTAGTAAGTGTTCTACTACTAATACTTCGGTGCTTTTAACGAGTTCCTTAACTACTATCAAAGAACTTATCGTTAATATTTGTAATAAAACATATGAAAACAGTGGCATTAACTATTTTTGGAGTGCAAAAAATTCTTTGGATGTTTTAGATAAATAACGCGCTTTTGATGGTCCTTTTGATTCGGTTGACAGTTTTGACTTTTCCACTCTTTATACTACACTTCCACACAATCTTATCAAACAAAAATTGTCCTATCTAATTAAATAGTCGTTTAATAAATCTGGTTGCAAAGTTATTTGCTGCA